AAAATAAGAACCAAGATGCATTATGTAAAGGTACAATTCCCAATGAGAATGTAATTGTGTTGTATACCTACAATGTACCAATAAAAGAATTTAATTAAGTGAAAAAAAATACTAACACAAAAATAGCAAAAAAAAAATGCTCATGACTAGTAAAGTTCCTTTTATGGTCTTCTAATTAAATTCCCTCATGGACATCCTTATTATCTAGAATTGTTTGCTTTTGGCGACATAAAAATTTAGGTAAAAAATAAATCACTGGAGCCAATATAAATAGTCAAATTGAAAAGCCCTGGAGGGCCAGGGATTTAGCTCAGTGTTTCCACCACCTGCCTCGCAAGCACAAGGTCCTAAGTTTGATCCCCAGTACTTTGGAAAACTCTTAAAAAGTTTTAAATAGCATTCCATTGCAGAGACACAGATCAATTTCCAGCTATTGATTACAGCTTATAAATTTTTTTCTCCTCAGCAAAAAAATGTTATGAGTCAATAACTTGTGTTTTTTAGATGTTTTATATTTTGGAGGCAATACAGTTGTAGCTGTTAAAATTAAATTTGATATAAAAATAAAATATGAGTTATTTATATTTATAATTAAGTTATAATGCTAAAAATATTTGCTAAGTATCAATTCATGTTTTTTCCTTCTCAGAATTCATAAATGGTGTATTTGGTTCTACTATATTTAGTATATTTCACAGAATTTCTGTACATATATATTTGTAACACTGATATAAGATCAAAAGATATCTAATCCCTAAGGAAGTTTGAGTAACTATTCTAGTAGAACAATAGATATCTAAAACATGGAGACTTTTCAAACTATAGGTTCACAAGTTAAAATTGCTTTAAAGAATCAGTTTCAAAGTGATTGAAGGCTGTATCTGGTCATAATTTTCACATCCTAAAATTAATAACTTATATAAGCACAAGTCACTTAATATTCTAGTAACAGTTGGTTTTAAAAAACTTATGCTATAAAAAGTTAATAGCTATGACTTACCTGGTTTGTTAATGGGTTTATGTGGCCCAATGCTAATAGTTTAAGAGATGCTAAAAGGCTTGTGTGCTTTTCTGTAATAAACTATTCTTTTATTGTCTAGTCTTTGCTTAAATAAAGTACTTAAAATGAGTTTTTTATTTTTATTATTATTATTATCTATTTTGTTGATTTCTGTTTTTTTGAGACAGGGTAATGCTATGTAGTTCAGGATGGCTTTGAATTCACTATGTAGCCCAGGCTGGCCTTGAATCATGGTGATCTTCTTTCCTCAGCCTCCCTAGTGCTGGGATTACAGGTGTACATTGTCATGTTTGGCAGTTTTTTTCATTTAAAAATAATTTTGTTTTATAGAAAAGCCTTGTATAAAGTCCACAAGCAAGGATTTTGTACTTTTCCCACCTCAAGTATACTACATCTATATATGACAGAGTTTGGAACATAAATATGAGTTAACATAAGTTTTATGTTATTAAATACTAAATAGTTTTTTAAAAATTAAAAATAAATACAGATGTTAGTATCTTTGTTTAAAACAAGACATAAGATATTGATTTGTTCTTAACAGAATTTACAATAAAACTTTTAAAAAGAAGTTTCAAATCTTTCAAAATAATTTCTTTTGTTCTCCTGTCTTGCTAGGAATAAATGTTTTAAAAATTTAAGCCTTAGCCAGCTATTCCCCTGCTGGGTATCTCCCCCAAAGAATTAAAAAAAATCATACCACAGTGATATATGTGCACCCATGTTCATAACAGCACAATTTGTAATAGCTAAAACTTGGAAGCAGCCCAACTGCCCATCAACTGGAGACTGAAGAAAATGTGTTTTAATAAAATGGAGTACTCCTCAGCCACAAAAAATGAGAAATTAGAGACATTTATAGCTAAATGGATGCACATTGATGCCATGCTCTTTAAGTGAAATAAATAGGACACACATGTGTAAATACCAAATAGTTTCTTTGGTGTGAAAAACTGAAAGTGTAAATAAGGACTAAAGGGTATAATAGATAATGTGAAACAGGAAGAAAAGTGGCAAAGGGGAAGGGGAATTGGGAGGGGTAGGGGAAAGGAAAGAAGGGAATTGAATTAATAAGAGAAAATGAAAAAATGGAAACAAAGTCTTTGTAAATAGGGAGGGATGGAGGGGTTGAAGGGAGGGCAGGGGAAGGGGGAAAAAATAAGAACCAAGAGAGCTTATGTAAAGGTGCAAATTTCCAGTGATGAATGTCATTATATTGTATACCTAAAATGTACCAATAAAATTAATTTTTTAAAAAATGATGATTGTAAAAAAAAAGTTTAAGCCTTAGGAAATATATATATATGTATGTATATATTTAGATATCTAAGCCAGCCTATTCTCACAGCAGTCCTCGGCTGCTTAGTCTCCTACCAGCTCTCATGGCAGTCTGCACTTATCCCAAAATACACAATAAGGGCCACGTGCCAGTAATAACCTTGGTTATATAAATTATTTACACTGGCCAGGATCAATCTTGGTGATATCAATTACTTACACTGAGTCTGATGAGTTGTGGCTGTGTTGAAATCTTACTTAAAGTCTTGTTTTGCAACTGTGGCTGCAGAAACTAGTATTATGCAATTTTCCTTATTTTAAAAATGTAATTCTGGTATAATTCACTCATTCATTATTGCTGTCTTAATATGCTAAAGTTAAGAAATTGTTTTGTTAAATGACTACTGGCTGTATTGCTAATAGTCACTGGTCCATAAGAGACAACCTTGCTTAAAAGTGTATGTCCTTAGTTGTCAAAATAGACATTAATTTTTGCACATTATACTCAAAATTGTTTACAGATCTGTAAGTGTACCTAAAAAATTCTAAAATGTTACTAAATTATAATTCTTGGTCTTGTGTAGGTCAGAGCACAAGAATACCATCCTCCTAAGAGTTTTTTATTCCTGGCAAATGATATGGAGAAACGCCTCAAGCATGTGGGAGCAACAGGTTAATATCCTTCAATAGGACTCTCTGCTCTGGCTCCTAGGATAACCTGGTCTATCCTCCCAGTTCTCTCCACTTGGAGTGGTGCTGGCACAGTTAGGGCCTATTGGACCACCTAAGTGTATCTGAAAGTCAGACAAGGAGCTTTCATGTCAGGTTCATTTTGTCCCGTGGAGGACCTGCATAGTCTTTCCTAGACTGAGAGCCAGGTATACCAATAGTCTACAGACAAGAGAGCCATACTTAAGAATGCCTGTAGAGTTGAAAATAAAAAAGCTATTCAAGTTCATCATATGTCTAATGCTGATTATTAGCATTCTCCTCTCCCAGGAGCCTGGAACACTTATCTCCCTTTGTGTACATCTGTATGCAAGAAAAGAAGACATGTACAGCCTCCCTGCTGCAACCCTGAAGAAAACATGTTTTTACTGTAAGCTTGCAGCAGAAAGGGTAAGGCTAAGCCAGTTTTATATGCAAACAATGTTATATGTTGGTCCTTACATTTTAGATACTCTCACACAGGCACCCTTATTCAAGCTTATTACTACAAATACTGTACGAATAATTATTATTCTATACTTTTACTGGCCTCATATATTTTCTCAGGTATATCTGTGAATAGTCTTGAGAGACAGAGAAAATAATACTGCCTGATTTTATAGACAAGGAAACTAAGGTCCAAAGCTTAATCTCCTTTCCTGTGACTACTGAAATCAGTGATTTTACACCTATATCAGACATTCTCTCCAACCAAACCTCCTTTACATTTTGTTTAAAGATATTAGAATTCATTTGCCTAAAGTCACAATGAAAGTAATGAAGCTATAATTCAAACCCTCATATTCCACCTCCCTAATACAATGCTTCCATTAGAAGTAGAAAAGCCAACATTATACATCAAGCATGGAAGAAAAGGTTCCTTCTAAACAGCATCCTAACAAAAACAAAATTTCACTCCAAATACCACTAAAGAACATTTAGTAATACTCATTTGGGAGGTGAGGGACTTCTCTGGGCTTCCAGCAAATCACACAACAGAGGAAGCCTGGTGAGGCTACTAGTATATACCAAAACCAAAACCAAAAACTTCTCTAATCACTCTCTTCCACTTCAGTGAAATAGTACTCATATGTAACTGTTAACGCAGAATCAGTCACTGTGGTTTGCCATGGTGTCATCCATGTAACAAAGTTAAAAGGCTGAAATCCACTATCATTCCCAAATACATCCCTTGATCCAACACAGCACCCTGGACAATTGTTTCCTCTAAAATGATAAACAGAAAAATCAAAGGAAAAAAAAAATCAAAGAAGGCAGGGGAAAGCAGTTGTTTTATTTTGCAAATGCCAACCTCTTTCTGCATGATTTCTCTGGAAGCCTTTGTTTTCAGAGCCCAGATCCACTCCTTAAGGAAAAGGAAACTTGATTTTTACCCTCTATCCCACACTCTTAAAATTCAGAGTAAAAACTAAAAAGAACTTTTGCAACATACACAGTCAATAATTCTAAGCACAGACTTAATAATGCACCAAAAACTGAGGTACAGAAAACTAGGGATTTCATAAGAGCGGAAGTGGTTTTTTTATACTTACCCATTTTTCAATACTGGGTGGCAGCTCATCATAAATGCACTCTTTGTCCCTCAAAATACTGGACTTATCATACTGGTCCATCTTTCTTCAGGTTTTCACAGCCAAAAAAAATTATTAAAGCACAAGTAACAGCAATCAGGAACCTCAGCACAATGGCAATAGCCTAAAAAGGGATTAAAGATATTGACATAATTAATTTTAGTTGCTTGTTTAATTGCAATCTACCCTCTACAAGTTAACCACTTAACAATATACCCTAAGTGGGTGTTTGTTTACATACCGACTATCCCAAGTGTCAGGGAGGTGTCATGCCAACCAGTCAATTCTTGTATTGAATAAATTTGATAAAATTGTCATTTTAATATTTCCTGCTATATTATTTTATAAATATTAACATTAAAATATGCAAATTTTTGATCATCCCGAATTTTGAGAATTGGACTGGTAATTAAAACCCTTATCTACCTAAGGATAATTAAATATTTGTAGTTTATGTGATATATAACTGAAGCAAATAGTTACATTTTAGACATGCCATAAAACCTCATCTACATCAACTGGGCTAAGGCTAGCAAAGCATCTACATTTGCATGTATGTATACAAATACAAAATTTGATTCAATCCTTAGAACAGGCTTAAAGCTAAGAACTATCCATCACTCCATTTTAGAGCTGTAGAAATGTAGTTCTGGAGCTAGTTCATGTGTTGCCTTATTTTTATGAGCAGATGAAATGGTCAGTAAGTTAAATCAATGGCATATTTTTTTTTTCTTTTTTTTGGTACCAGGGATCGAACTCGGGTCCTTGTGCTTGCACAGCAGGTGATGAAACCACTGAGCTAAATCCCCGGCCCTGTGGCATACTTCTAAAGAGGTTGAAAAATACTAATCTCAGAATTAGCTTTAAATACCCAAGCATACTGTTCATAATAAATGCTTAGCAGGGGGCATAGCTCAGGTGTAGAACATCTGACTGCATAATACATGGCTGGCTAACCTTTTTACACTCAATATAAATTTCCATCCATAGAAAATCTGTTTTACCATAAATTATGAAGGGATGGATCAAACCAAATTGTAAATTAGAGCCAATGGACAAATAATTTCTTTGGTCTACCAGTCTTCTTTGTTTTCAGAGTCTTGTAATATGAATGGGCCTCATGACAAGGAAACATGGATCTTGATGGTTCTTCCAGTGTCTGATAAGTGTATTAAGTGTACACTGGCCAGGGAGGTTAATGAAGTTGAGGCAGGTACCAAATTTCTGCCCTGGATATTCACTAATGTTCCCCTTCTGGCTATCTTACAGTGACATTCTTTCTCAAAGAACATAGGTTTCAAGGAGCCAGAGGATTAAGGGGGATGGGAGTGCGGCAAGATAGGAGTACCAAAACAACAAGCACTGTAAAAGGTACATCGGCAGGGAAAAGTTTCTATAATAAATACAGTCACTGAAGAAATTCTAACCCCCAAAGAGTGACTCATTCAGGTGAAAGAATGTGAATTTCTATGACAGTGTAAGATAAGTGTGTGTGTGTATGTGTGTGTGTGTGTGTGTGTATGTGTGTGTGTGTGTATGGTAGTAACTCAGAACATTTCAGGTGCTGATGACTCACGGTTGCTTATCCCTACCTGCACACCTGAATCCCTGGATAGCTTTTAAAAATACTAACACTCTGAAAACTACAACACAGTTTTGAAAGAAACTGAAAAAGATCTACACAAATGGAGAGACATCCTATGTTTATGGAGTGGAAAACCTGTAATTGTAAATATGACAATATTCCCCCAAATTAGTCTACAGGTTCAATACAACTTTTCAAAACTTTAGCAGGTTTTTTTTGCAGAAATTGATAAAATGTCCCTAATAATTCACATAAAATATAGGAACCAAATTTTAAGCAAAACAACCCTGAAATGATGGAGAACTAAAACTTCATGATGTTAAAACTTGCTACAAAGTTAAAGTAATCAAGGCAGTTTGCATTAAGATAGAAACATAAATTAATAGAATCAATTCAGAGTCCAGAAATAAATGCCACATTTATGGTCAATCTTTTTCTTTTTGAAGACAGGGTGGTGCCAAGGAATCAAACCCGGAATCTTGTACACGGCAGGCAAGCACTGTTATTACTGAGCTATATTCCAAGCTCATATAGTCTGTTTTCTTTGAGGGAGTCATGCTATACAATCTGGGTCACAGGTAAACTCACTCTGTGGCCCATGTTGGCATCAAACTTGTGATCCTCCTACCACAGCTTCCCAAGTATAGGCATTATAGGTGTGTGCAACCAGACTTGGCTTGGTCAATTCCTTTTTGACAATGGCATAAAGAATGTTTAATGGAGAAGTAGATCTTTCAACAAATCCAGTGACAAGCAGAGTCACATAAAGAATTTTCAACTCCTTTGTTACATGACTACCAAAAATGGACAACAAGTCAGGTGTGCTAGCTCATGCCTTTTATCCTAATACTCTGGGAGGCTAAGGCAAGAGGATCTCAAGTTCTAGGCTAGTATGGACTAGTCAAACCCTAACTCAAGAAAAAAAAAGCAACCAGGCATAATGGCACATGCTTATAATCCAAGCACTCCTTGGCTCAGAAAACAAACAAACCAAAACAAAAAGCCAAGCATATGGTATTCTGGGAGGCTGAGGCAGGAGGACTGCAAGTTCAAGATCAGCAGAGGCAATTTAGTGAGATCCTGTTTCAAGAAAGAACAACTAAAACAAAGGCTGAGGATGTACCTCACTGCAGAGTTGGGCATAATCCCCATTACCATAGGGAAAGAAAGAAGGAAGGACGGAAAGAAGATCACAGACCTAACTATAAGAGAGAAAATATGCAAGTCTTACAGAAAAACATACAAATCTTTGTGCCCTTGAGTTAGGCAAAGCATTCTTAGATACACCATCAAAAACACAAACAACAAAGGAAAAATTAGATAAATTAGACTTCATTAAAACTAAAAAGTATAAAGGAACTTGTCTCTAGATACGTAAAGGATTAAAAACACTCTAATTTAAAAGTGAATAAAGAAATCACCATTTCTGAGCTGAGCATGGTGGTGACTTGGTTTTAATAAATACAGCCAAAAGTCTTTTTATTTTCTTTGTCCCCATTTCCCCCAACCCTTTGGCCCTCTGAAGTGCAATTTTTTTCTCTGAAGCTGTTTTCTAACCCCTTTGCTTTTGAAGTATAGTTTATCTTTTTTTCTCTCCCCCTGCAGACATATAGTTTTTTTGTTTTTCTTTTCTAGAAGAAAATCTCAGGAAAAAAAGGAGGTCACAAGTCATGCAGAACACGTCGAATCGCCCCGGCAACAATCCACTGGACCACCCCCCCAACTGCCGCTCCTCTCTTCCTCTGTACAGCCACCTGGTTCCACACTACAAAGACACAGAGGACACCGGACCACCAGACCACTGTACTGAGTTCCGCCATTCCCGGCACAGATGTAGGGACTTCTGAGCCGCCGTCCCACTGCTCCAGGTCCAGAGGAAGGGGCTTCCCAGCCACCATCCCTGCAGCTGCTCCCAATCCAGAGGAAAGGGCTTTTGGGCCACCATCCCTAACACTGCTCCTGGCCCCTGCCCTACCTCTCCCAGCTCAGAGGAGGTAATCTGTGCAGGTGCCAACAGCAACCCTCCCCCAGTCAAAATGAGAGAACACGTTAATAACTCTCAAAACCAGACGTCCAGATGACCTACAGCAACTCCAAAGGAACATGAGATGGAACACTGAAACTCAACCACCTGGACCCACTGAACTGCCAACAAAAGGGGATCTGGAAAAAATGAAATCAGAAATAATTTCTCAGATAACAGAAGAAATTGTGCTCCTAGTGCAAGACATGATTAATAAATTTAGAGAGGAACTGAGGAAAATGATGGAATCACAACATAGGAAACAAATGGAA